TGTTCTGCAGATGAGTGAGGGCGCAGACGTCACCGCAGTCCAGCCGCCGCCCGACCCCTGCCCCGCCCCCGGGCCCGACTCCGCCTCCGCCGCCGCCACCGGCCCCGCGCCCGGCCTCGCGGAGGCCCCGTCGGGGCCCCGCGGCGGGAGCAGCCCATGACCCCCGAGGGGTACATCATCTCCTCCGTCGTCCTGGCCATCATCGGCGTGGTGGGCTTCCTGTGCAACGGTGTCGTGCTGCTCATCTACGTCAAGGACCGGCAGGTGAATGAGGGTAGGGTGTAGCACACGGATAAAACCAAAGATTCTGTAGGAAAAATTAGATACAGTCAGAAAATTGGTTTCTTGAAAAAGTTAATTATATCAAAGGATTTTTTTTACTATATCTATAACTATAAATAGATTCAATTTCCATTGAATCTTTTTTGACAGACACTCTCAGTTTACAAACGGCAGTATTCGTATTCCGAAAAATGTTGGTTTGTAACGTACTAAGGATCTAAAGCAGCCATATTACGAAAGATTTTCCTTCATATTACGAACAGTCCCTTTTCGTAATACGAAAAGCCTCGTTTTTAATACAAAACCTCGCTCTTCGTAATACAAAGAATTTGTTTGTATTACAAATGCTACAAATCCTATGTACGTTACGAAGAGAAGTTGTTCGTAAGACACTTACAGTGTAATAAAAATCATTTTTTCAATTTAATTTCCTTAAAGTAATTTGTTTTCTGTGTGTATAATGTCGCTGTGCATCAAAGTGCACAGTTAGAGTGTGAAAAGGGTCAGCTGTCCATTCAAAAACTAGTGCCATTTCTGTGTGACAAACTTGGGTAACTGATATCGTGCATCACGCAACAGTGTTCCCCACCCCCACTTCTTTTTTTGTGACAACTGCTAACTGCGTCGCACACTCGTTTCACTCGTCCTTTACTACCCAGCAGGCAGTTAAAAGAGTGGGTATCGCGCCAGCTGTGAATAGAACAGAAACTGAAACGAGCGTCAGAGAGAGAGAGAGAGAGAGAGAACGTGCAAAAACTGGCAGTGATTCGTGCCCTAATTGCTTCGGAGTGATGGTGCTTGAAGGTATTTTCAATCGACAGGTCTGAACATATTCACTTTGACCCCTGGAAGTCCCTCTGTGATTTTGTTTCTGAAAACTTTGTCTCTCTTATCAACTAATCGAGCTCCTGCTGACAAGCTCGACTTGCCAGTCTTTGTACTACTACTCTCTGTAAGGCAGTGGTTTTTAGTAGATGATACATTTGCATTTGGAACATTTTACTAAAACCAATAAGAAATGGTATGACAAATGTGTCATCGCTTGTCCTGACATGCAGAAGGGCCTCACAACTAGGACGGCTACTGGTCGGACCGAAAAACCTTTGGCCACAGGAGGCCTCACGGTTAGTCAAGTGCAAGAGGCACAAGAGGCACAAGAGGCACAAGGCGTGACGTCACCTAGATGTATAGGGGGCGCGTGAAGTCGTCCGCCTGGCCTGACCCTGGAATGGGAGCGTGCGACCTCGAGAGAGGTGGAAGGAGGGGAGGGTGTGGATGAAACTTCTGCAGCACCGCCCTACCCGGCCCTACCTCCTCCGTGTGCGAGTGCCCCGCCAAAACGGGCACCCCAGCCCGCCTCCGCCAAAAGAAGAGCGCCACAACCAAGCCACAACGCCCCCCAAAGCACCACCACCACCGCCAGCGTTTGCACGTGCGGTCTTTCTCATCTTTTCCTACTCACTCTTGGGCAACGCGCGCGATAAATAATTGAAATGAGGCTACGGTGGTGCTGGCGGAAGCGTGTGCTGCGCCCTTCGGCCGCGCCCACAGCCCACGCTCACCCTGGCCCGGCCCTCGAGGACCCGATAGGGCTGCTGGTGGCAGTAGGGGGCGGGGGAGCGGGGTGGGCTGGGAGAGTAGGGGGCGGGGGCGCTTTGATGTCGAGCGGACCTGCTTGGCGGGCGCTGCTGTGTGCCGCGTGCTCCACGCAAACGTCTCAGGGGCGCTACCCCTCTGCGCCGGACACCCTCCCTCCATACCCCATTTCCTTTTACTGTCGAAAATATGTGTGATTTCTAGATATCCTAAGGGAAAATACACCATTTTTATGTGTATTATTGTAAAATTGGGCGAAGCAAAGTTTTCTCAATTGATGAGAAAGATGTGTAAAAATATATTAGAAAAATTGGTAACAGGTAATTTTGCAAATGAGCTCTGTAAAGTTCAAGTATCTCTGTTCTTAGTTGCACTTCGTTCCGGCGGTTTTCACTGCCTCCCTCTCTCCTTCCCGCTGCTGTCACTTCGTTCGACAATACACGTCAACAGGTGCTACATTCATCACTCTCGTGGAATTATTTTGTCAATTTATTGAAAAAGGTTTTGTCAGCAGCTAAGATGTTTGCACAGTGTGTATCTCAGGAGAGGTCGTTTGCCAAAATGCTGTTTGGTCGTTGAAAGTTTCTCGCGCCACAAGTCGCGGTCACGCGACTAGCACAGTTTGTATCCGATCGTCCATTATCACTCTTTCCTGGAAGCGCTGCTGGACGCTACAGCGATGCCGCAGCGAGCGTTCCTTGTCCAGAGCCAAGCTATTGAAACAGGAAAAAAATGGCGCGCACGAGAGAGAGGGGGAGGCGGATTGAGAGAGACAGAGAGAGAGAATCTCAAAAGAAACGAACAAGGAAAACTGGTGGTTGTTCGCTTGTGCGTGAAGGTCGTGATGGCTACTGAAAGAATACTGAAGGGCAGCCGAATTCCCTCCGTTACACAGGACACCGTCGCTGTCCTGTATACACTGAAATCCGTTTTGCGATAATTTTACTCAATTTTTGCGATAACTGTTTTTTGTTGTTTTTTGCGATTCTCGTGCTAAAGGGCATGATAACATTGTTTTCGCAAGGAAATGTATAGGATAAAATCATTTATGAAACATTAAAATAAAAAGATTTCACAAAAAATTGCGATAAAAAGTTATAACATTTTGTAAGATTTTATCCCTGTACTTTTTTTTTGCAAAAATAATATCATCGTTATCTGTAGCATGACAATCACAAAGCACAAGTTCTTGCAATATTGTGGTTACTTCAAAAGAGTATCGCAAAACCAGCCTCAGTGTGAACGCTGGGCTTCCACCTGAACTTACCTGTGGGACGTCCATCAGGACAGATGAAGTCAGGCCAGGCGTCCGTCAGTTAAATGTCGAGGCGGGGGGAAGGGAATGGGAGGGGGGAGAGGGCGATGAGGGTTTGCTGGGGACAATGAGCGAGAAGGGAGGGGAAGGGAAGTCCCGCTACACAGGAAAGAGGCAAGCGGAGGAGGGGGTGCGTATTTGAGGGGGCAGGTTGGCGGAGGGCGGTGGTGGGGGTATATAGTACACAAAGGTGCGGAAATGAGGGAAGCCCTGAGCGATTTCTTCCGAGAGAATCCGTAGCCCCCCCCCCCCAAACCCCAAAGCCTGTTTGTGGCGCAAGAAATGCACTTCAAAACGCATTCACCGAGCGCAACTCATTTATCAGTTTGATTACAAAGTGGATAGGGATGCGAGTGCTTTTCTGTGTGTAGTATCGACCGCCCCCCGAAACACCGGACGGCTCTCCCCATGTATGGGCCGTACACAAATTACTTTATTTAGGGCATGAAATCACCTGTGGATCAACGGCAGTTGCTTTGAAAAAAAAGTATAAAATAAAAGACGCCCCCCCTTTTCCTCCTACCGTGCAATTACAGTGCCGTACCCCGAAAAAGGTGCCCCCCTACCCGATGCAAATGACGTAATTTGTGTGCGAAATTCCAGAGTGGGACGCGTGGCTCGAGTGGCCGAGTGATGGGCCACATGGGGTTAGTCGTCCCCCAGATGGGGCCGTGCGGGGGTGAGCTCGTCATATAAAGATTGAGCGCGCGGAGGAGAGTAGGGGGGAGGGGGAGGCGGAGAAAGCGAGTAAAGCCGCAAGGACGAGCCGTGAGCGGCGAGTCGAAGAGGGTTGATCCAGGAGGGGGTGAGCCGAATGGTGAGCCGAATGGTGAGCCGAATGGTGAGCCACCGAACTCCTGCTCATGAGAGAACCGTCCAGCCAGGATAGTTGACGAGTCGGGCGCGCGAGTTGGACCCGAATTTAGAGCAAGTTTGACGCGAGTTTTCGCAACTTTTCGCCAGTTGGACGCTATTTTGGGCGGCCGGGCAAGTGTACACCGTGAGGTTTGGCGAGTAGGTGACCCCTCAGGAGGGGCGGTGATCGCAACAAAAGGCTATACAACTATGTTTTCTGAAAAAGTAAATTGAAAGGAATATGTCTTTTTCTTTGGGGGAGGGGGGGGGTATACTTCCCCTACTCTTATATTTTTGTGACCCGTTTTGTTTCCTCGCTTCTGTATCTCTGAATAAGAAAACATCAACATTGTTCCGTTTAATTAAATGGGGTCCAAATGTTGTAGCCCAAAAGGCCTGCGGGGGGATGCTCGAGAGGTAAGCTGAGCAGCCCCGCTGTACCATACCCCGCGGGGGGGCCACGGCGGCGGCGCCGTGCGAGCGTGATGGTTATGATGTTGACACTTGCTTTTATTATCCAGAGGGGAGAGGGGGATGAGGTGGGGTGGGGCAGGAGGAGTGCCTGTGCCTCCCGGAGCCTCCCAGCAGCTCGCGTTGTGGCCGCGGGGGAGGAGTGTTTGGTGTGTGTGTGTGTGTGTGCGCGCGCGCGCGTGTGTGTGTGTGTTGTGTTTTCGCGAAATTATCGTTGTGCATATGGGGAGATGATAATTTCGGCAAACGAGAAGGGGGGCGAAACGAAACAGTATAGCAGAGAGCAATATAAAATCAGCAGTGAGTCATGTCAGAGCTCGGGTCAGCGCGTGAGTTGGGTGCAGCGGTGTGGGGAGAGGATGGGGGCAGACTGTGGCACGTTATGGCCTCTGTACTACTTGTGAGCCTCCATGTGTGTGTCTGTGTGTGTGACTGTTGTGGCCACCGCGGGTGGTGGTTGTTCGGTCGTGTGCGCTGAACCGCAATCGCGCGGGAAGCTACCAGTGTGCGCGTGTGTTTGTGCTAGAAGCGTGGCTTTGGGGTTTTGGTGGGGAGGGGGCGGCGTTTTCTTCGCTGTTGCACTACTGTACTTTTAGGCACTAGGTGGCCTCCTCTTTGCGGCTGCGGATCACGGACAGAGACTTTGACAAACTCGATACGTGCCTCTTTGTCTCGGTAAGGGCCACCCTCAGGCTCCTCAGACTGTGCGGGGATGGTGGGGGGCGGGGGACTACATCGCGAGACGAACGGACGGACGGGAAGGGCCGGCGAAACAACCGCGTCCGCCCGTCGTCGTCGTGTTGTCTTTGTATTTCTTTGCGAATAGTAATGTCTCGGATGTCTTTGTCTTTGCCTCCGGGCGCGCCGCCGCCGCGAACGTATTTCATTGCCGCCTGGCCGTGACAGGCAGGGCGCCCCGTATTGTGTTCTGCTGCGTCTGATCCGGCCGCCTCGGCACCGCCGGCTCTCACGTGGCCAGTAGGCGAGGCGGCCCTTTGTTCGCGGAGGATAAGTCGGCAGCGTGAACCCATCCGTTTCCGGAACTGAAGACAGACCCCTATCTATCTATCTATCTATCTATCTATCTGTCTGTCTGTCTGTCTGTCTGTCTGTCTGTCTATCTGTTTGTCTAATCCATCTAAACCCAGAAAAGCCGGTTCTTGTGACAAGAAATGTTCTTGCGGAGTCAAGAACAGAGCATTGAACCAAGGCAAATTTGTCTTGGCACAACGCTCTGTTACTTGACCGAGTTCTTGACTCCGAAAAGAACTTTTTTTTTTTTTTTTTTAGAGCCATCGTGCCGGGTCTTGCAAAATCACTGTCAGTTAGCCCTGCGTCCGGCACCTGCCAAGGAAGTCGTTAGACATTTATGATGCAACCTTTCATGCTACGCCTGCTCGTGCCGTTTGTGGAGGTCAATGAGGTCTTGTATCGTAGTGCGCCATGCGAGATGATGGTGGTGAGGGTGAAAGAAGCCTAAACTGCCGGGCTTAATAATTT